TTCCATTTTTCCTTGCTGTCTTTTCCCATTTTGCCTCTATTCACTTAATCTTTGCTTGTACATTTACGCTGTCTCTGCCTCCTTCTTTCCAGCCCTCCTTGCCTTCTGTGAAGCCTTGGCTGCCTTCCTAACCCTTGAACCCTTGATGTCTGACGGTGCCTTAGGACCAAGCGGTCACACCACTTGGGCTGCTTCTCCCCCTGAGCAAAACATCTCTGAGGCGGGGGGGACATCTCTGTTCCCACAGCGGGCCCTCCCAGGTACTTTCAGGCACAGTGGGCGGCTGGAAGATGAAGGCTGGAGCATGCCCAAGCATCCATTTGCTGATACACCATTCATTCAGACACAGAGGCTGTAAATGGATGCAGCACGCTCACTACAGATGAAATCCTTGGAGAATTTAAGATGCAAACACATCTCTCTTGAGCACAGCAAGCTGCAGTGCGGTGTGCAGGTTGTGGTTGGGTTTGTGTTTTGCGGGGGCTGTACATCAACTTTCTGCTTCTCAGTGAGAAACCTGTTGAAGTTGTTGGTTTTTTTTTTTTTGTAGGCAGTAAAAATATGTATTTTTCAGACTACATATGATTGAACTTTAGCTGGAACTTTAAAAAAAAAAAAAAATCAACCTGAGGCAGGTATCTTCCAGAGGCAACTCCAGCCCAAATAGCAAAGGTTTAATAAAGTAAAAACAAATTGAGTCTTGTTCAGAAAGCGCTGGCTACATTAACTATAGGCACCAGTGCTATTTCTGTATATAATATCCCAAGTTTTCATATATCCTAGTAAACTGTTGACATTTTCTTCTCCTTTTTATGAAATACTAGAACAGAACCATGATTCTGCATTTCAGACAGTTTTGGCATAGTGTTTAGCTTGGCACACCTATGCTCTTTATCAATTTTTAAACCCTTTCTCTTTTTTTTTAATTATATTTGCTATGTTCTTCCAATAATTAACATTTTATAATTGGGAGGCAATAGAAACATGACTCAAACAAACTAATTGGCTAACATATTAATGTCTGGTATGTAACTACTGAAGTAATACCAGACATTATAAAAAACAAAAAAAAGCCCCAAACCCAAACATCTAATTTTCTTCCAAGTTCTAGCAGTAACAGGTCAAGGAAATGTATTTCTTCTTCAGGATTAATTACAGACCGGCATTAGTTGATTGACAAATACCTATGGCTTAGAGCCCTTAGAAATACACACCTAACTTCTGCTAACATCACGCAGTTTGTATATGCACTCTAACACACCTACTATGGTACCGGGGCACTGAGCTTTGGTGTTTTTAACAGAGGAGGCACCTAAATACTTAAGAAAAGGAGAAATTGTTGCAATACATGTGCTCTCTAACGTAATGCCACTGGGAAACCAGGACTAGACCTCATACACTAACTCCTATAAACAGCTGTAAGAGCAAAGCTGTTTGTGCTCCGAGGAGCTTGCAATGTAAATAATATTCTTTCTTTCTGCTTCTGCCTTAAAGGACTATGAACAGTGTGAAATGAAACTTGGAAGAAAGTTGTGTAAACCATTAGGATTTAATCCTGCACCTTTTGAAATTAATGAGAACATTCCTACAGTTAGAAGGAAGATGGAGATCTTAGAAAGAAAACTGAAGTTTTGGGAAAAAAAGCTAAATAATATTTAATAGGGATATAATAATTAGCACTTATGGGACAGACTTTTTCTGTTTCTTCACTAGATGATGGCTTTGCCGGCTTGATTTCTCTCTTCCCGTTTTATAGTTCTGCCTCAAATGTATGTAGCAGCATTCGCTTTCAAGTCTGCGGGTTGAATCTTCCTCCTCTTCTTTTTTAATAATCCTTTAAGGACATTATACTCCAACTTCGTGTGTGTGTGTGTGTGTGTGTGTGTTTCTATCTCATGAGGGAGAGCTGCTTTAGACAGTGAATTATACTAGTACCCATGTTTAATAACTAACCAAAACATTTGCCCTTGACAGTCTCAGCACCGTAATACTAATTAAGCAAAATAAACAGCGATGAAATGAAAACCGGGCAAAGTACTCATCCTGCCTCAAGATTTAATTTGGGATCAGAAACGCCGCTGACAGGAGAGGGAAGCGGCAATTGCAAGTACGTCCGCGGACGAACAGTGAAACGCTGCATTATTCTTTTTTAAACCGGCCACTAATAGCTGTTGATTTAAAAGGTCACTTCAGAAAAGGAATCACGGTCAGACACCGCTAATCCTGCATCCGAGGCCGCCTTTCGTTTCTCCCGGTTCCTCGCCGTAGCGGCGCGTTAACGCGGAGCTGGCAGCGGGGGCGGGTGGGAACCGGGCTTGCACGGCCCCC